GTCCTATCAGTCCTCTGACTTTTACCATATTTTGCGTTAGGAAGATTTTTCTCAATTAATTAATCTGTATTTAAGGTATTGGTTTAGATAAAAAAAGTCAGCGTCACGAGCGGGAGTCGAACCCACGATTTTCGGCTTGATACGCCGCTGTTCTACCACTTGAGCTATCGTGATTTCGATCCACTGGAACACTAACTTCCCATCTCAACCTCACCATTTGAATTTGCACCCCTCTTTGCTATTTTTCAAATTTCATGTAATCTATTTGATTCTCGGCGACAAATGAAATGGCAACGGAGAGCTTTAGTGAAGATATACTTCATTTAACTTATTAAATTCACTAGTTTTCGTGGTCCGCTTTTTATCTCAAATAATACCTTAAATACAGATTATTTAATTGAAAGACATTATTTGGTCAAGCGTCCCACGAAAACTAGTGAGTTTTTCTCAGTTTTAGTGAAGTTAAACAGTGTCTCGCACTTCTGGAGTTTGTCCACTCCTCTTGTTTTTTTTTTAAATTCCTTTAATTAAAAATTCTTCCTTTAATTAATCAACTAAAAAGAAATGACGACATGTTAATTTGTAGTAATACTTTGTTTTATCAATTAAAAGTTGAGTATTTAGTACTAGAACGAAAAAAAAGAAAAGTCAGCGTCACTTTTCAACATACACTGCTCGTTTTTTCCTTTGGGAGAAGTCAATTTACTTAAACTCGCCGACATTTATAGGTTCAGATCTTCCTCTAGAATATCTGTTTTTCATTACACAGAACTACCCTGCACCTAAGATATTGTTAAGATGTTTCCCCAATTTTTTGAGTTTGCAGATAAATTCACTGACCGTTTTTGATGTATTCTCTAAGGAGAATTTTTGATGCCTCTTTTATGATTTGATAAGATCATTGAGAGGGTAAATTTCAATTTAAAAAACCTAAGTGTATTTCACCCTAATGAGTTTGAAAGCTCATTTTCGCGCTTGCATAGAATTTACCTGATCCGGTTCCTTTATTTGTTTCGAAGCTATTTGTAGACCTTACCTAACGCATCTTCATTATAGGTAATATTATAAAATTAAATTGTGAAAATTCAATTGATCATTTGATTGTTTCTGATTGCCCTGATCCGTGGTTAAATAAAACAAACACGATTGGCAAAATAATTCCCAAGAAGAACTGTAACTGAAGATGTAGAAGAACCAAAATTCCCTTGAACAAAACAGAGATTACGATCATTTTGGCTATTCTCCCCGTTTTAGACAGATGCACTGCAAATTTACAGTTACCCTAGGACACAATCTTTGTTTATTAAAAAAATATTTTCTGTTATTTAGATGTTGCAATTATTTTGGTTCATCTTATCGCAGAATGGGTTGTTTACATTAGGAAGATTTTGCATAACGTTAGAGTGAACGGTAATGCTAAATGGGTTGATGTCCGCATGCTGTCTGAAATAGCCTTCTACGTTATTTGTTCTAGAATAGCCTAGTTGTTAACGGGTGACGATAAAGTCCAATTATAATAAAATTATTTTTGATTTCACATGACATTTTACAATGCGTGAAAAAAGCTAAAATTCTAGGCGACTGGTATAGAATGTGGTTACAATGAGTGTGTATATGATTAACTGCACTAAACTAAACGGTTTTTTTTTCGTAAGAGTTTTGAATACTTTTCCTCTTGAATTTCATTTATTCGAATCGCCAGGCAATGTTTATTTTGTATGTTAGAGCTTGAACAACTATCAGGTCCCCAGTATTGTCTAACTATCGTCAGCAGTCAAGAAAAAATCCATAACATCCTTGAAAGGAAGAAATACTTTGTCTACAAACTTGGATGTTACAACTATGTAAAACCTGAATTACTCCAAAATTCCAAGGAAATCGATAATCCGATATGTAAAAAATCTCCAAATATCGTCAACGATATTTCAAAGACGTTAAATATAACGGTGACCTTGAAATAGGGGGAAAGTTATGCAAAATTTTTCTAATATGCAACGTAACAGTTTAACAGTTTGGCCTCATCCCCGATCTACCTTTTGGAAAGAAAAAAAAATATTGTAACAGTTTCAATTACACAACGGCACATAATAATTTACCATAGGGTTATCGTGTAAGATTTACAATTCGACGGCAGTTTTAAACACATTTAGGTGTCATATTTCAATCCGAGACACAAGAAATTACTGCAAATAAGTAAAATGCGTTCTTGTTCTTTGGAAAACAAACAGAACAATAGTGTACTAATCTTCTTTCGTTTTAACAATATTTGAAATTTAACAATTTTTTTTTCATATTTATAAATAAATATTGTAAAATGTATATCTACAACGTAGTTAAAATATTTAATGCTCTTTGAAAATTTAAAATTTAAAATATTTGCTATTTAGTGTTTTTGAGATGATGATTGGATTTGTAATCTTTCTTCCCTTTTCCAACATTTCAAATCAATCAGGTGGAAATAATTAAAAGTTCATTTAGTTTAGAGCTGGAAAAGGTTTATGGTGACTCAAGAGCAATGTGATTCAAGTACTTCCCCATTAATGGCCTATTAACAAACCCCGTTTTTCCTTCAGTAGCCACACTCGTAGCCTTCATTGTTATACAAGTTGTTGTTACACGCAGTATAATTTTGTAATGCAGTGAGAGTAAACCGGGTAAAAGTTGAATTAAGGTTCTGTTTCTAAGCGGAAACGGCTTCCAAACAAATAAATGTTTTAGTTTGTTTTAGTCGGTAGTTGGGCTCCTACTTTCCCAGGAGAAATAATTGTTCGTTACAACTCTCGCCCTATTGGTTAAAACTGTACCCATTGATTTAATTTACCTGGAGGCACTAAGTCTTCTTAATAGCGGGCAACCTCTGTCCTAATAAATGGGAGCCTCGGAGATAGATGTTGTTAAGTAGGAGTCCAGACAATTTGCCGACTTGTTCGCACAAAACTAATTAGTTCGGGACAATTAATTCTAAATCCGGTTTTAAGGGGGACACCCTTAGAACAAGCAGCGAGTTAACTAAAGTCTCCAGTCCTTCATTTACCAAACTTTGACATCCTCTTTGTCACCCAAAGATAAATTCGGAGACGTGAACGATGTACTATGATTAAGCGAATAAACAAACCTTTGATTTGAAAAGCGTTTACGTTTTACTTAATACCAACAAAGAACATAATTAACGTCTTTAGTGAAATTAACAAGAAATACTGATCAAAGAGTAAAAAATACATTTTCAACAGCAGCAATGAAAAGGATCATCTTCATATTATTTATTGTTTGGCATTTTACATTATAAAAAGAATGTAAGAATGTGAAGCGTAAGGAGAAAAACTGAAAAAAAGTAAATGAAAGCTCCACCTAGAGGGGACGTTCTTTCCCGTAGGTACTCGTTAGCCCTTAAAAGGACGTGAAGACCTTTAACGTCCGTACCCAGCCTTTCCACACTACCAGACGTTTTGATTCTCAGGATGAGAGGTGTCGCACCTTCGCTCGCGACTGGAGGGGTGTTACAGGCTCAAGTTTTGGTGTAGAAGCCAGCGAGACGGACTTCTCTCTCCGCTTCTCCATTCCGAGTGGATGGGGCTGCTTAAGCAGTAGACCACATACCGCTCGGAAAGGGTAACTCCAAGTGGCTGAAATGCATCAGCCTTTGTCGCTCCGCCGAGCTCCCTAGATAGAGAAGGCGACTCTTTCTCCCATAATACTGGGGCTCCTCCAGCGTAAGAATTACCAGTTACACACCGGCCGAGGTCTTGTTTAAAGTGGATGGTCTAACCACTCCCTATAAGAACATTGCCCTCGGAAGAAAACCAATACCGGCACCCCCATACAACAGATTCACACTAAGTTCTTGCCAGGTGCCTGCTCACGAAGCCACAGCAAGTTCACTCCCATGTAGCTGGGTTTGGACTTGGAACATTTTCTGGTACCCCGTAGTTCAGATGGGTAAGCACCCTCCCCCGTCTTTGCAGACAGGATCTGGTACCCTAACCCTCGTGTGTCTCTGATGCAGCACCCGCCGACCCCGACGGTCTGCGCGCACTCCTCCCCAGAAGTCCACCCGCACTCCTCCCCAGATGGTATTTGTTCCTGTTGGTCGGGAACAAATACCACCTCTCAGGTTGACCCCCACCCCCCTGCCGCCACAGTCAGTATTTGCTACTTTACTGAATGAACAGTTGCGATCTTCTTTTTGTTCAGTCTCCAAATAGATCCTAACAGTTGCGCCACGTGTAGGGTAGTGGTCGCGGGAACGGGATAGGTTGTTTGTTGCACTTCACCGTTCCCCATCCACTACCCCGCACGTATTCGAGGGGCTCCGTCAGCGTAGTCTTAGCGCCCTCGAACGCTATATTCGCTTCGTAGGAAAATGGCCACCAAATCTAGAGGGGACGGCTAGTTTCTTTATAAAATAATCAGCTGTCAACTAGATTGTCATTACTTTTATTTTTTACTTTTTTAAATTATTCAGCTTGTCCCCTAAAAAAATTATCTATTATATTTAACTATAATTAAAACAATGAAAGAAGAAAGTAAAATGGTCCAATTATTGATTTTATCATTTATGTTTTTAGGTAAAGTGAGGAGTAAAATTTCTGGGTTTCTATAATATGAATATATGAATATATTTTTTAAATCTTTTTTTTTATTATTAATTTTGTTTTGTGATTTATCTCTCTCATACCTCATGCATCGTGTATAAATGGAAAAAGGTCTTTGATGTATGTAAACCAAAATAAAAAATATATTTTTAAATCATCCCTTGAAAATCGCTCATTAAAAGTGAACACCTCTGTTTTTGAAATGTGTTTAATCTAATTAATAATTTTAATTGGGTCCCACTGTTTTGCTAAGTGGGCGAGGCATAAAATAGCAATCAACCCCCAACCCACAACGGTTTAAATAGGGGTTAAATCAGTTACACGCCCGCCGGAATGTTCGCGTGTGTCATAAATATTAGGCTGTCGTACGAATTTAATTTGATTTCGCTGTTTTTTTAATCATTCCAGTGCCTCCGGACATCCTTTACGATGAAACCTCGGCGGATGTTAGCATTCAGGAGGGCGAAAACGCAACTTTGACATGCAAGGCCGCTGGGCACCCTGAACCTAGGATAACGTGGAAAAGAGAAGACGGAGAACCGATTCTGCTCAAAAGAGGCCGAGGGGGCGACATGTTAAGGGGTGAGTTTTAATGACATATTTTTTATTTGAAATTAATTCAATTTTAGCCTATATGTTAAAAAATTAAGCAACTCGACAATATTTTTTGTTAATACCACTTTTTGTTATGAATAACATTTTGACGTAATGATATGTCAAGTTTTAATATTTAAAACTATTATAATATAATATCTTATTTTTCCGGCCGGCTTTTTTATCATTATTACTATATCTATCTAACCCTTCTTAAACGCGCGTTTAAAATGTCCTAAGTCAATTAAAATACAATTCATAACATTCAAAACAATATCTACGTTTGTCGGCTCTCAACTGTTATCCATATACTGCTGAGACACCATCCCAACAACTTCCCTAAAATTAAGTACTTCCTAAACTTACGGTTGGGAGCCCATGGGGAGGTCCAAGGGGTTTTCACCTTGTCGCCCTTCATTCTCGCCTATAAGTACATTCACATACAGTAAAAATTATCCATTCATTAACCTAATTTAAATTAATTGTTCTGACAGGTCTGTGGGGTGGTAGTCAATATTCCACAAAGACCGTGTCCAGGTTTTTGGTATTACGCTCCTTATTATTCTGCAATTATATATAAAACAAGATAACCTAGACTTAAGGACCATCTAAATTAAACAAAACAATTCAATTTAAATTTAAATACAACAATGTTAGACAGTTTCACACACCAATCTCTGGCGAAATGACAAAACCGTCGAAGAGGAATACAGAAACGCGTTTAACTGACCAAGCTAGTGAGGATGATGATTATGAGTGATTGTTAACGACCAAAATAAAGAATAGTAATTACTGAATATAAAGGGACACTAACTTAAATAAAAGATAAACTAACATTACAGAAGATAAGTGTTTGAATGCACTCAGATAAATTTAAATACAGCACTGTATCTTTTATAACTAAACAAGATATAATTACAATTTTGTTCTATCAAAGTTAGAAACAACAAAGCTCCACGATTGTCTTTGAATCCCATTATATTTCTTGGAAAGTCATGGTAAAATAGATTCAAATACAATTAAATAAAATCATCTAAACTTAATCCGTTAATCCGAATTAGTGATTTAGAAGTATAAACCATTGTACGACTAGTCGCTCTTGTGTTACTATGGAAACCCGCCGGGATAGATAATCGGGATAAGAGGCGTGGAACGGAAACCGTCGGCGGTTTTGGCGTTCCTGCATCAGATTAACAAGTCCCAAAGTCTTTCAGACAATGACGATAATGCCACGAAAAAAGTCGATTTTCTGGATATAAATCATATTTCAAATTCATGCCGAATTCAAATATTATTCAGATGGCGCCCCAATCCCTTCGTCAATTCTAAAATAACACCCGAGGATTAAAATCTCCAGTGAAAGAGTGGATTAAACAGTAAATAGAACACATCACTCTCTTCTTTCCTCACACAAAATAATTTAACATTAAATGTAGATATATATATATGTTTCCCATTGGAGGTCATAATGTTATCAAAAGGACACTGAGATTTTTTAACGTGTGCTCCCCAGGCACATGGCCTTATTTGATTCTGAAGATGGGAGCGACACACCTCCGCTCACAAGTTATCAGGGTTAATCCTGTGAGGTCCATAGACTATAGTGACTTCTCCCGCTTGCCCTTTCGGGAGTGATGGGTCAACATCTACACACCCGACCGTGTGCAGCATAGCTATTGGAAAACCGTTCACTTGGTGCTGAAATGCAGCAGCTTATTAACCGTACAATACTATCTTGATAGAGAAGACAGCTCTATCTCCCTGAGTGTAAGGGGGTCCCACCAGCGTCGGATCTACCGGATCCGTTCCCGAGAACTCATCGTCAACAAGACATGAGGATTTTAACGTCCGCACCTGGTCTTTTCGGCCTTATCGGACGTTTTGATTCTCGAGATGAGAGCTGACGCACCCCCGCATACGACGGAATAGTGTTACCGCCGCAGCATTTGTCTAGAGACGCCCCAGCCCCTAAGGGACAAGACAACCTCCCTCTCCGCTTGTCGACTCCGAATGGTCGGGCCCACATTGTGCAATTGTGCATCGGGTCGTATGCCGCACGCAAAGGGCTAACAGGCCGAAATACATCAGACTGTTCTCCCGCGTATTCCCTAGATAGAGGACGACGACTCTAACTCCTAGAGTATTGAGGCTTCCCATAGCGAAGAAACTACCGGATCCGCCCCGGCCGCGGTTTTGTTTTTAGTGGAATTGCTAACCACTCGCTAGATGAGCACCACCTACGGTAAAACCTCCTGTCGAGCTCAGCCTACACCTGCCATGCGCATTCGAGGGACGCCATAGGCTTAGCCTAGGTGGTCCGATCTTTCGCTGCGTCAAGGGTACCACGCCGGTCATACACATAACTATGCAAAGCATACTCGAGTCAGAGAAACCGATTCACTACCCGTTTCCATTCGCTTACTCACGCATTCGAGGGACTATTCAGCATAATCATCTCGTCCTCAACGCTTACACGCTGTCGTCCGGTCGCAACTTCTCCCGGGAGGCGGGGGGTAATTGCGTTGATCATACGCAAGCTTCACGAAGGTCACAAATAGAAGACAGCCTCTGTCTAAGTTACCGCCAGGGGCGTCACCACGTACCACCACGAATCCATTCCTAGTGTAACTAGGGCTGAATTTGAAACTTTTCAGTTAACTCGTGGTAGAGATGGACCCGTTACCCGTGGTCTATGAAGACAGGATCACTGGCCCTCGTATGACTCTGCTAAGGGCCCCCACCGCCCCTGCCGAACCTAGGCCGACACGAGTACAGGTTGTGCTTTAGAGAGGTTGGTACGCCCTCTGGGCTGCACCTTTATTTTGTGCCCGGATACCCCCCTCTTGAAACCAAGGGTGGGGGGGTCACAGGATAGAATGAAGGAACCCGGATTGAGAAAGGGCCGTGGATGAGAACTCGAGGTGAGCCGTTCCACTATACCACCCGTCGTCGCCCTTAGTTCCACACATAGTGGACTACCAAGGTGGGTGAGACGAGATGACTGTTTGAGAGCCGAACAAGTCGGCCCTATCCCAGCCAGTCGTCTCGGGGCCGATTTGGCCGTTTTGTTTATAGTGGAATTTCTAACCACACACTAGAGGAACGCTGCCTTCGGTAAAGGAAGCCTATGAAGGCACCGACGAACACTGGTTTTTAACTACAATTCTATTCCCACATAGCCCGCTACTGGGTTAAGAACATGGAACGCTCTTGCGCTACCCCAACCCTGTCTTTCTAGACAAGAACAGGTACCTCTGTGCTTACTGATCGAGCAGCGAGGCTGATTCAACAACTCCTTTTACGAATTCGACTGTCTCAATAAGCGTAGTCTTCGCATCCTCGCATGCCTTTCGCTTCCTTCGTCCAATCTTCCATATAAACGCGGAGTGTGTTTACGGAGTTCATGCGCACAGGTAAACACGAAATCAGTTTGTGTTTTAGAGAGTACGCCACGCTCTCAGGATACACCATTATTTTGGTGCCTGGAAACCCCCCTTGCTTCCATGGGTTAAGAGGGGACTGTAGGAAATTTCCCGTAGGAGATTCTCAAAGTAATTGCGGAAGTAACTTTGAAATTTAGATAATTTAAGTAGAGCGATCGCTGAAAAAAATCAATTTACCATTAAAAGAAAATAAACATCAATATCTAATATACCAACAAAAAGAGGCAGATGGGAAGACCTGATTTTATTTTATTTATTTTTTGTGATCCAAAACGTAACGTTTACTTAGCTTATTGCTAAAAAGAAAAAAAAAATGTTGAGACCTACTTTGCTGCGCCGCTCGGTCACTACGCCAAATTCTGTTTGGCAGCTATCTATGAATATTGTAGATAATGAAATGCCTAATTTGTGAAGTAGAAAATAGATTAAAATATTTGTCCACCTTGGAGCAAAAGTTGAAATTTTGCAATAAAAAAGTTTTAAATACTTATTTTTGAAAAAAAAATTCCTATCAATTTTCGGCCTGGAAATCACAAAACTATTGATAAAATGTTAACTTTGAAATATTCTACTAACCACTCATTATCCTTTCTTATGCAAATATTTCGTCATTTTTTGATTCCTAAATATCATAAACCTCCTGATCACATATATTCCTTTAAACGCAACAACCTGCAGAAGAAATAGTAAAGTATGGGTGAATTGATCGGTGAAGATTCACTTTTTGTAAATGATGGTTTTACTCACAGGATTTGTTGTTTATACCCGGATTTTTAGCATTAAACGCGTTTCATCAGGTTGAAGAGTTACGAACACTTCTCTAGAAATGAATTGTAATAACCCCTCTTCATTATTGTCCAAACATTGGCCCAACACAGTTAGGCCACTGTGTAGAGGAGGACGGTATGTAATGGTCCATATTGACGAAGGTTGAAAATAGTTGGGGGACATTGGCTATGAGAGCGGCCTCAAATACACCAAGAAGACCTATGTGCGGGTTAAATATGGGTCGTAGTTGGCCATTGTATGATCTTTCTATTTGTCCTATTGACATGGTAAAATAATTAAATTTGAGTTATTTACCAAAGTTTAAATTTTCCAGATTTTTAATCTAGAATTTGAATGTACACAGAATGACATAAAAATTTCACGATATTGACACAAATTTCCTTAAAATTTCTTTACTATAATCATCAATCGTTTCAATGATAAAAACTTTGCGGGATTACATCTACAATCTGATTTTCAGACTCGTAATGAATCATTTTCTAAGGGAAATTGACAAGAATCACGAGCTTAAAGGGAGAAATTATCAAGTTCTGCGAAATAGAGAGAGAGAGAGAGAGAGAGAGAGAGAGAGAGAGAGAGAGAGAGAGAGAGACGCTAAAAAAGTAATTAAATGAATTGGGTATTGGGCAGAACAAACGGAATAAGAACAAAACGTGGCACCACGTATAGCACCAACGAGCTCGACCAAATTACAGGATATTAGTATGATAAATAATAAAAAATTCAAGGTCTTCATCAATATAAAGCATAGTTATA